TGGTTTTCTCTCTGACCCCAGTAATGAAATAAAACCTCAAAACTATCAGCCAAAACAAATCCACCCCCTCTGGAGTTGTTTTTCTCAGGAATTTTGTCTTAACCATAAAAAAGCCTGGCAAGTGAAGTGTGACTGCAAACAGGGAGAAATTCAGCATGTATGGTTCTTATGCAGCAAGTGATATGATACGTTATTGCCTAAAAGTTGATTGTTCAAAATGAATGCTCTGAAATCCTCAAGTAACCAGCAAAATAATAAGGCAAGGAGATATAGCTTATAAGCCAACTAAGGAGATCCATAGGAAATATTAAAACACAAGTAACAATAATAACAACAAAAATCTTCCACTAAACCAAAGCAATAGAGTCAAAGAGATGAAGGGTACATAAACACAGATGAGATAGAATGGATCCCAGTAGACATATAGATGATACAAGAATGTCCATGTCAATAATCATGTTATGTGTCACCAAAAGGCAGACATTGGGTTGGACAGATACATCAGCAGTTAAGAGCTATGTGTGGCTCTTGCAGAGGACCACAGTTCAGATCCTGCTGTCCATATTGGGCAGCTCACAACCCCCAGAAACTCCAGCTCCAAGGAGCACGATACTCTTGTAGGCATAATTCAAAACAAGTCCTTTTTAAAGGTGAAGGCTATCATATTTGTTAAATGTGCACAGAGTAAACCTCCTGTGAGAAAGCCATTATAAATATGAATAAACAAACATGTTATAACTAAGGGATAATTTTTAAAAGATACATCATAAAGATACTACCAAATGAGTAGGTGGCTAAACTAATATCAAATCGTGCACATCTCAGAACAAAGACCCTTAACAACAGCTAGGAAGGACATTACATAATTATGAAATAATTAATTCATTAAAGGAACTAATTCCCAAACAGTTATGGACCTAACATCTGATATCTCAAAGACAAGAAATACAATGCTTGTGAAAAGACAATTAAAAACCAGAGACTCTAGTCAGTATTGTTAATATTTTATTTCTCAATAACCTAACTAAAAAAACAGGTATAATGACACAGGGCCATATAAATGGTCTTTAGTCCTACCTGTCTATTCAAGATTGCTCTCAAGTTTTAAGCCAATGCAACAGGCAAGGAAGAGAGTCAAGGCATCCAATCAGCAAGAAACAAAAGTGTCTATTTACACTTTGTCAGTGGTCCTCTACCTTCCTGATTCTGTAGCCCTTTACTACAGTTCCTCATGTTGTGGTGACCCCAACCATAAAACTATCTCATCTCTCATCACTACATCACAAGTGTAATTTTGCTACTGTTATTAATTGTAATGTAAATATCTGTGTTTTCAGATGATCTTAGGAGACCCCTGTAAAAGGGTTGTTCAACCCCTAAGAGATCATGATCCACAGTTTGAGAACAGCTAATCTATGTAGAAATCCTCATATGGAATCCTAAAAAAACTATAAGAAAAAAATTAGTAAAGCTGTAGAAGACTAGGTACAACATTTAGGAGCATAAGAACAGGTAGTGTGTTCTGTTTGTTGCATATCTGCACTGACTCAATACTTCTGTTTTTACAATATATGAAAGTGAAAGTGGATGGGAAAGATGGATTGTTGGTTAAGAACATTAGCTGGTCCTCCAAAGTACCCAGGTTTGATTCCCAGAACCCATATTGCAGCTCACAATTGTCTGTAACTCCAGTGTCAGGGCATTCAATACCCTCTCCTGGCTTTTGTGGGCATCAGACACACACATCATACACAGACATACACATCATGCAAAGCACCCATAAGCATACAAATAAGTAAATAAATTAAAATTGTTTAAAGAAGAGACAAACTAAAAACCAGAAGGACCAAAGGGGAAGGAAGGTAGAACTGTCTAAAGTTTTAGGTTTTATAACTATATAACGAAGGACATAGAAATTTGAATTAATGCAAAAGGGTTTGCAATAATTGAAGTTCAAGTCTCCATACAGCAGTCCTGAATAATAAAATGAGACAGGTACTCATTCAATATTATAACATGAAGAAAAATTTCATGAATATCTAGTAAATAGTAATTACCAACTCTTATAAAGAAAGCATTTAATTGGAGCTTGTTTACAGTAGAGCAGCATGAAGGTACTGGGACAGTAGCTGGGAGCTGCATCCTGAGTCATAGACAGAGAATGATAGACTCTGGGCTTTTGAAAACCTCAAAGCCCACCCTCCAGTGACACACTTCCTCCAACAAGGCCACACCTCCTACTCCTTGTAATCCTTTCAAATATCGACACTCCCTACTGACTAAACATTCAAATTTATGAGCTTATAAGAATACCACAATAATTGAAAGTAAAGCCACACATGGTCATGGGAGAACATAAGACAAAGGTTTCTGTTCCAGAAAGAAAGGATGGGGTCATGATGAAAAGAAGCTGCAAGCTTATAAATAGGCTAACTGGTGCTTATCACAATTCCCCTAGGGCAGACACACTTTCCAAGGGTGGCCTAGACATAAAGCCATCAGGGGACACCATCATAGAAGCAGCACACTATCTGTGCCTGGGTTTCTTGCTGTCAGTCCATCTGTCCAGTTACCATTGCTCCCAGCATCTTTTGCTGCAGTCACAACCTGCCTTGAAATCAAACTGGAGTTCAGAGACTCTCCAGGAACCCCATAGGCCCTCAGTGCCAAACTTGGGTTTTTGAGGCACCCAGCATAGTTGACTGAATGGAGCAGTATCTGAATTCCCAGTCCCTCCAGTGTGCACAAAACCATTGTTGGACTGTCCAGTGTACATAGTATACACTAACATACTTTCCTGTTATATGTTCATTCTGTCAGTTCTGTTCCCCCTAGAAAGCCCTAATCCACTACCTATGGTGTTTGATCTACACAGTCTTCTGTTTTACCTCTCAGCATCATTTACTGTAAATAATACCTGGCTGGAAATTGAGGGTGACTGTCTTCCTGGCCTGTGTATCTAGGCTAATGCTCAGGCAACCTGGAGCTTCATGGGTCCATCATCCCATCCCGCAGGAACCACCCTGAACACTCCAACAAGCAGCAAGTGTGAAATTATGTTTTGAAATATCAAGCTTCAGTTCTCTTTGTGATACTAAAGTCTGGCAACACCACTTAAGGAGATGCCAAGGTGTGTTAGTTCTTTGTGTACTGCAATCTGGACAGCTTTAAGCAGCAGACATCTATCTACTCAAAAGTTTGAAGTCAAGGTGTTGACAAGCTAGCCTCACCCCTTTGATTCTCAGGGAGTATCCTTCCTGGAAACTTCTGGCTTCCTTCCGTTAACTCTGAGTGTTCAGGACTTGTGTCTGGACCACTCCCACCCGTTTCTACCCCCACGGTTCTTCCCCACCTCCCCTTCTCTTCTAAGCTACTAGTCTCGTTGGATGACAAGAAGCCATAATTAAGCATAATTTCTCAACTTGATTCTATCTATGGAGTGAGTTGCTATTTCCCAATGAGTTCACACTTGAAGTATCATGTTGTAGACACAGTTCAAAGCATAGGAAGTACTGGGACTTAATTCAGTGAAGGAGAGTTACAGTTCTTCACTTTTGACCTGTCCACATGCATGTGGGAATGCCAGCTGTAAGATAAGACAGAGTGAGGCTAAGATGACTTCCAGTGGCCCATGGGGTAAGATGACATGAAGAGCCTGAGTAGCTTAGCCTGTTGTTTCTTTCTTTGAGAGACCCCACTCACTCAGTCTCTACTTCTCAAAAGTCACCTCAGCTCCTGGTTTCTTGGATCAGGAGCTACAGGGGCAGGGGGACGTAGTGCCATGACCCTGCACCTTGGGTTGAGAAACCAGGCCAATCCTCTAGATGAACTCTCTCCCTTCATTCCATTTTAGAGTGTTAATCTCTGTGCCTAAAAGTAGTGGTACCTCTGAGGCATCCATCCATGTAGAAACATTTGCTACACTTGACACACCAGGGTACCTTACCCCAGATTAATTACCATGGTCTGTCACCTATTTCATGACAGAAAACTGAGAGTCAGCAGTGAAGCGTCTTACCAGGCACCCCGTGTCTGCATTGCAAACCCTGCGCTCTCTTCATTGTGCATAGATACATGCTTGTGCTCCTTCGGGTATGCTGCAGCCTTCATCGCCATAGTGATGGCGATGCATGTGGCCTTGGTTCCCTCTGCAGATTGTTGCTGTGGTTTCTCTTATAGTCTCACTCACATCTGCTTTCTAGGTGCCTCTCCTCCCAGAGTACCTTCTGAAACCCCTGAACAGTTGGAGTGGCAGCACAGAAAGTGGAAATCCATGAATCCCTTGTGTGACCCCGCATGTCTTTGCTGTCACTCCCATCTGATGGCTCTACGGTGCACTAAAAAGACGGTGGTTTTCATGGGATTTCTTGGGTTAGGAGTCAGCCCCACTGGGTGGTCTTTCTGTTCTGAACAAGGCAGTCAATAGATGATTATCTGGAAATCTCATCTAGTCCTAGAAATCCCTGTTTCTCAGAGAGAAGGGTAAGTGAGGTATTAGTTGCTAGAGATCGGATCTTCTTAGATATTTCAAATTGAGTTGTACTAGGTATGGCTTTCCCCAGAAAATCCACATGGGAGAAGGGATTGAATTGCAGAGTATCCCAGATAGCTCTGAGGTGACTGTTATACTCCCAGAAAACCTATGGGCTGTGACATCATAGCCATTTTAAAGGCTTGAAACTAAACAGGTATATGGCACAAGAGGCATCTGACACCACAAGCTGTTCTCCCTTTGATGACACTTACTCACCCATCTGAGGAAACACACAAGTGTAAATGGAGCATGACTTATCCTTCTAGGATTGATATGATGGGTAATTCTGAGCCATTACATCTACATTGGCCAGTATGTGTCCCATTTCAGTGAGGTAGTTAGCTATAATGAATCCCAGTTTGACTAGAAAGAAGGCACACCAAGGGAAATCATGGAGAGGTCTTGCTTGGTATATGATGTCAACAAACACATTGGTGGAAAAAAAATCATATCCTAGACTCCAGACTTTTAGTTAAATACGCACAATTTTATTGATTGAAGAGATTAGGACAAAAACATTAAACCAAATACAGGACAAAGCACCAGAGGCCATTAGTCCCCACCATGCATGTTCCCAATCTTTCCTCCCACCCAGTACTTGCAAGATGGGGAGAGGGAAGATAAAAAGTCCTTCTTGCCACAGCACCATCTTCCGAGTGTAAAAACCTTCTCTCTGCATCTTCCATTATCAAAATAGAATCAAGGGTAGATCCATGGCAGCTTTGTCTCCTGACTATGAATGGAGAAGCCACCCTCCTGGGGACAGGGGCTCCTGTGGAGTAGGCGTGAAGCATCCAAGAGTCCGCACACACATGCCACATACTAGAGTGAAGCACAGATTCAAGTAACATTTACATACTAGAGTCCACGTGTTACCTACCCAAAAACAGGACCATTTCACAAAACATATGCAGGCAGTAAAACCCAAACGACTGAGGTACTGGGAACACAAATATTTATGCCAAAAGAGTTCTGTATCATACAGCAATAGAAAAGCCAGAATACAAAAGGAAAACATTTTGCCACTCGAAATCAAATAAGGCTATCTAGAGAGAGCCAAAATGAAAGGTTACTTCAGGGACAGAATTACTCAAACAGGGAAACAAAATTATAAATGTTAACTACAGCATGTAACATGTCATCCCGTCGACCCGTAATTGAAGTACTGGCTTAATACATCACAATGTGACATTTTCCTTAATAAATACAAGAGTTCTTGAAAAATACAAAGGTGCGTATTGGGACAGAGAGCTGTTTGTATTTATATCATCCCTTCTGTTCAAACCAGAGGGCTTTTCCAAGCCCAGAGGATCATTCTTAGCAAAGAAAAGGAAATAGCTGCCCTATATTTTATACACATGGGACAACCTGTCTCATTTTACTAGTTTCCCATAGAGCAAAACCAAAACATTGAGATCAGCATCATCAATGAAATCTGACTCCAGGAGCTCCCCCCAACTGCCGTCTGGAACCCCCTCCCTGTATTCAGAGCCAAAAGCAATGTCTACAGTATGAACCTTCTTCCTTCAAAAGAACAAAAACCAGAAAGGAGTTTAATTCTTCTCTTTTCCTTTCTCCTTCCCCTGATAACACATCTGGAAGTTTGACTTCTAATTGTTTCCTGCTACAAAAACCAAATGATGAAGAACAGAAATGTCTATCACAGAATAGATATGCCCCCTTCCTTCCCTCTCCCCCTTCAGGGAACAAAGCATTAACATGTCACTTCCTAGCCAGAATAGGAAATCATTTATTTTAAGAAATGAGTTGAAAAGTGTGAATGAGAGACAACAACTGGAACTTTCATTTTCTTTTAGCTTAGCACCCAGGTTTCAGGTCAGTCTGTGTGCACCGAATTATTATTAATATTTTAAGTTTTTCCCATTAATTATTACATAGGTGGTTGGCCTGTTTTTAAAAAATCTTCAATCAATTGTCCCTTCCCTGAATCATAACAAGAAGTTAATGCTAACAGTGCAATGCCAAGGTATATGTTTGAGGCAGAAGAGTGTCAATTCTATCGAGATCTCCAACTATTTCTGAACAAAATGAAAAGTGGGGTAGATGAAGTAGCCCAGTTGGCAAGGGGGACTCTCAGGCTACCCCAGGGAAGAGAAACTTAGGGGAGGGGCTTCCGACCATCTAAACCCAACCCCCATCCCACAAGTCTTGTTCCCATGCTAAGTGTTCGGTCAGCTCCTGGAAGGCATTCCCCCCTCAACCAAGAAATGTGTAAAGACAAGTGTCCATCTTGCTTCCCAGCCAGGCCACCTGTGTCCCAGAACTCCTTCCTGGGACCCTCTCTTGCTCCTGGTACCTGCTAAGTGTCCATGGGCCTTGAGCTCAGTTAAAGAAAGGGTCCAAGTTTTCCTCCATGTTGACATCTGGCACCAGCTGGTCAGATGCCTCTTTAGCACCAAATCCCGAATTGGAGACGCTAAAATCCGTAGAAAACCAAGGATGGTCCAGAATCTCCTGCGAGGTCAGCCGCTCTGAGGGCTCCCGCCGCAAGATGCTTCTGATGAGGCACCTGGCCTTGGGCGACAGAGTTTCTGGAATGTTGAACTGGCCCCTGCGGATCTTACTGAAGAGGGAACTGGGCTCAATGTCATGGAAAGGGTAACGCCCCACCAACATGGTGTACAGCATCACCCCTAGGCTCCACACGTCCGCAGCCTTGCCAGAGTAACTGCCAGTGGTGTTCAAGATCTCTGGGCTGACATAAGCTGGGCAGCCATGCTTGTCAGAGAGGGAGTCATCATCACCTCGGAGAATGTAAGCATCTTCCAAACTCTCCAGCTTGACCCGAGTCCTGTAGGAAAGAGAGAAAGACAAGAGTACCTAAGGATGAGGGGAGACACATACATCTATTCATCTGTACATCAGGGCTACACCCATCCATCCATCCATCCATCCATCCATCCATCCATCCATCCATCCATCCATGACTCACAGGGTAGGATACTGGACACTGAGGGTGGAGGTTTAAGCAATTCTCTTGAAGACGGTTGACTGGGAAATGGACAAGATTTCCTCAGTTTACCTTTCTGTTCTATAGCTGTACCCACTGCTTCTCTTTAGGACACAAGCACAAGCTGGGACAACTTCCCTCTAAGTCTGGCATCCAAATATCAAGTTCATCTTCATTTCTAGGTGAAGTTCATCTTCACCTGATCTGCTCGTCACACTGCCAAAGCCTGGGTCCTTGACTTGGCACCTATCTCTAATTACAGGTGTGTGATTCACATGTGACTATGTGCCTGGGAAGATGGGTATGAAAACAGCAGCATGATCCTGAGAGTTTCTCAAACTATTCACCCTATCCCCAATCCACCCAGCTCTTCACAAACTCATGAACATAGGCATACAAATGTGTAAGGTGGAGAGATGCATATGAACTTCAGAGGTAATAACACCTAGTTTATACCATCAACATGACAAGGCTCCATGGTGTCATCATTGAGTGTGAAATAGACATACACAGAAAAAAAAAAAAAAAAAAAAAAAAAAAACCTCTGGGAAATAAGATATCTTACAAAGAAAGGAGATCAGACTGCAAAACATAGTGCTGCCAGGCATTGTGGGACACACCTGTAATGACAATCAAGAGTTCAAGCTCAGCCTTGGACACACAGCAAGTTGGAGGCCAGCCTGATGTTCATGAAACCTGCCAATATTCTACTTCCCAGTGTTTGAAATGCAAACCCTTCCTTAATCATCTCTCAGCCAGAGCCGAGCTAGCTAGGGCTTCCTTTGAATGGTGGTTCTCACCACACTCCTAAAGTCCTGCTGAGAGGGTGGCTAAGGAAAATTGGAACTGGAGTTGGAATTCACATGATTTGTACCCTCCTCACCTCACCCCATCCCCATCCAAGTGCACACACCTAGGTCTCCACCCTGCTGGAGTGGACAAGTCAGAGAGCTCAGATGAGCACCTGAAAGTGTTCAGGCAAACTACAGTGGGACCACCTTGGTCCTCAGTCACAGCCTGTGCCAAAGACCATCTTCCTCCTGTCCTCTGCCTGTTCTTCCTCCCTGTGTCTGCAGGCCTCGGGCTTTCAAGGTGGTCTGAAAAAAAACACTGGCAGTATCTACTTAAGGAGAGCTGCTGGGAACTTTCTGTAGTAGAGGGAGTGACAAAAGATGGGTTGTTTCTAGGGTCTTCTATGAACATGTCATTGAAATCAAAATTCAAACAGTGATTGCTTTCCTGGACGTTATGGACTTTAGGAGGATGGAGTCCAGGCCAGGCTCCATCTGTCTCCAGCTTTGTGGCAAAGTCACTTAACCTTCCTGCTCATCTTTAAAGAGGAGCAGTCGTGTGTATTCGTTTGTCTGCTTGGTTGATTTTATCTTTTTAATGTAGTAACTTTTACAGTTAGTAAAATCCATCATCATAACCTTTGTTGTTGTTGTTTTCTGTGTAACTCCTCTGGCTGTCCTGGAATTTGTAGATCAGGCTGGTCTCAGACTCATAGGGATCTGCCTGCCTCTGCCTCCCAAGTACTGGGATTAAAGGCATGCACCACCAGTGCCCAGCAAACACAGCCATTTTTTGAGTGTTCATTTAGTTCACTCTTTACGGGGCCCAATAATCATCATGCATCCATCTGCACAGAGACCCTGTGTGCGTGCCAGCCAGGTCTAACACTCTGTGACACGCAGCAGCACTTATTTTCCTTTGCCATTTGCTGAGCTGTGTTCTAGAACAATTCTACCATATGCATGATTTGAATGCTCCTATAACTAATGGCCTCCAAAACTAAGAAGGCCCTAGCTATGTTAATCTGGAATTGAACTGATTAAAAACAAATCTTCCTTTCTCAAGCTTATTTTTCCTAATAGGAGGTGGCAGGTGGCAGTGACCTATTCAGCAGCCTCACCAGATGTTCCAAGATGCCCAGAGAGGAGGAGCCTATGAGCTCAGAGGGAGGGATGGGATCATGAGCCATAGACTCAACAGTTCCTCAAACCAGCGCCTTCCACCCAACTTCACCCTTGAAGTTCATGCCTAATGGGGGACCAAACTGAACCCCCCACGTGGTCTTACCAGGGAGAGGCGGCTGGCTGTTGTGCCTTCTCCAGACTCTCCATATTGACTCCTCCTTACTCCTTTTTCTTTCCTCCTTTTCTCCTAGTCCCTCCTATCTTCCTTTCCTATTGGCCAACAGTGCTTTATTCATTAACCAGTATGAGAAACATTTACAGAATGGCATCTCTCATCAGTAGAGTTATGCAGAAGTTAATTAAGACAGGCACATGAACCAGGTAAATGTCGGGGGAAGGGGAGGTGAACAGGATTTCAGGAAATGGGATGCCTGGCTCTACTTTGTCTGGAGGCAGCCTCTCAACTCTGCGCTTTAAGCTAAATCAAATCTCCAGATCTGCAGTCTGGTCCCTGCTTACATAACAACTGTATATTCTGACTCTTTTACCCCATATTCAAAGCATCCTGCCCACTCATCTTGGAGACCTGTGTGGCCCCATAAGGAGGGCTTTAGACTGTGGCCAGGGCCACCATCTTGTCCACTGCCCCAAGCAGAGTTCTCCCCCTACTCTCTCTCTCTCTCTCTCTCTCTCTCTCTTTCTCTCTCTCTCTCTCTCTCTCTCTCTCTCTCTCTCTCTTTCTCTCAATCTCAAGACATTAAGCAGATGCTGAATGAATCAGGATAAAATTACTAAAACCACTTGCCTGCTGCTGGGGCTGGGCTGTGTATGCCTGGTCAGCCTCGCCCTCCTTCCTGTTAGGAAAGTGGTTCTCAACCTGTGGGAGAAACCTCTATCTCCAAAAATATTTGTTACGATTCGTAACAGTAGTAAAATTCCAGTTATGAAGTAGCCATAACAATACTTGTATGGTTAGGGATCACCACAACATGAGGGGCCCTATTAAAGAAAGGCTCACAGCATTAGGACCATTGCCAACCACTGTTTTAGGGGCTAGAACTTCATTAGACAAGGTCTGAGGGTGCAATGGGGAGTAGCTGGGTTTCCCTGGCTCACCAGGTTTCAGGTGTGCTGAAGCCAATGAGCTGTCCCAGGAACCAGGACAACCCAGATAACAAAGCAGTCACTGAAGTCAGTTTCAAGCTCAAGTTCATTCTTTAAAAATTACTAAGTCCCAGTGTCAGATGTCATCTTCATGCCTGACACAAGCCAGGTGTTTGTGTAGCTGTAGCTTTACATTATGGCATAAATGACTGTGTCTGGTATATGATTCTTTTGTGTGAAGCAGGACCCCTAGGCCCAGAGGCCAAGTCAGTCAGTACACCTAGCCAGGATGGTGGGGGCTAGCTGTTCACTCTTTCCACAGAGCAGACTTAGCCACCAACAAGACAATCAGAGTAAGGGAGGCTCCATCCAGGTGGGCAGAGCCAGATTTTACTTCTTTCAACAGTTTCAGCATCCGAGGCAGGACAGGGGAGAGGGGAGATAAGATGCAGAAGAAATCCATTCCCCCGAGGCACTCCCTAACTTGCTCCTCCCTGGATATTCCGGATATTCCGTGGCTTGTTTACATCACTCCTAACAAGGGTCCAGGCAAGTGCTCTGGATTCTATCTTTAAGCACTGATCTCCCAGGATGTTCTTGTGGGTGGGACAGAGGGAATTGAGACAGGAGGCTTGGGCTGCAGCCCCAGTGCCTGAGGTCCAGTTGTGCAACCATAGGAGCTACCCAGGGCCTCCAAGCCTGACCTCTCCTCTCAGAAATGGAGCTGTGGTTGCTTCTTCTCCCAGGACAGATAGGCGCAGACATGAATGAAGACGCTTCTTCTGAAGTCTCCTAAACTGTCTGAGGGAGGATGATGGATACATTTCCCGGGCAAGGGAGTTGATTTCCATAAAAACCAACAAGGGCATCTGTGGACCCGGTGAATCAAATAGACCACTAATCATTCTGGCATTTAAAAGGCGTTCAGGAGCATTTACCCTGCTTGAGCTCCCAAACTAGGCACGAGGGATATGTCCATGACAAGTAAGACAACAAACATTCTCCCTGATTTGCTGAGAACTAAATGACAAGACAGGATGTCCCAGGGAGCCCAGCTTGGCAGAACAACTGGCAATAACATGGTGGCAACTATGCAGATACTGTTGTTAAACTGAGACCCTGGCCTAGTGTCACAGGCAGAGGAGCAAGTATAAATGCAAGCCTGGGAAGATGGGGCTAATGGGGATGCTGTTTCCTAGTAAGTGTCCAGCTCAGCCCTGACCCTTAGATCCTCAGGATGTGCACTGTAGGGGTGGGGAAGTAGAGACAGTTTATGAAGAAGATGGATTTCTGAAAGTGACACAGTGGGCAGGCAGAGAAGACAAGGACAGTGGAGATTGAAAAACTATAAACTCCATGTAAGGCAGGAGCCAAGGACAAACGGTACTGGACCAGGGAAGCTGGGTCTCCCTGGGCTTGCTTCAGCCTGTCTCTTGCATAGGAAGACAAGCTGCCTTGTTCCTGACCTGATGGATGAACAAAGCTCACAAGAGGGTGGTCTGTGTACTCAGTGACCATCAGTCTAGTACCAGGCTTGTATCACCACAGCCAGTGACAGCTAAGGAAGCCAGGACCAGCAGAGTGTGATTCCTCTCCCAGCATCTAAGGAACATCAGGAGTCCCCCTCAGAATGCAGGTCCCCCTCACCTAACCCCAAAGCTCCCACAACTACAAAGTCCAGAGAGCAATGTAACCTCATGTTCTTTTAATTGTTTCTCTCCCATGAAACAAGAACACATAACTACAGGCTATGGAAAGGGCTCTTCTGGTTTCTATATCCTTGATGATCTGCAGCTCTCAGGCTCTACCACTTCCTATAGG